GTGTGTGTGTGTGTGTGTGTGTGTGTGTGTGTGTGTGTGTGTGTGTGCGCGCGTGCGCATGTGCGTGAGTGTGTTTGTGTTTGTGTGAGATGCTACCCCTCTCATCTAGCCTCCGGAATAACATTCCAATGACGAGGGATTCAAATGAAGACGTATGTTTATCAAAGGGACAGCCCTCGTCTTTGAGCTATTCTGGATACAACCGATGTCTTTCAGAGTAGTCTCCATGCTTAGAATTCACCTTTTGGCCCCCTGGTAAGACATTTAGCTGGGCCTGAAGTGACTATGTTGTAGTTGTCACCGGAGAAAAGGAAATACCTTGGAGGGGGCTTTGGTTGTAAACATAGCAGCAAAAAAAGGGTCGCTGTTTTTTGTCTTTTCCTTCTGAGCAGGAGGGCTCAACAGCTCAGGTGACTGAGAGCTGAAACGTTTTTTTCGGGTTGAGCTACTGCAGTGCCACCGTATCCAGGAGCACGTAGGTGTAAACTGATATACGTTGGCTACGTTTACATGTCCCGAAATATTCAGCCTGCTCAAGTATTGTGTTTTTTTTTTTATTCAGCTTAATTCAGGTACAAGAAAGTTTTTCTGCACTGCTGAAAAAAAGCCGTCTGTTCAGCGTAGTCGTCTCTAGCCCTTCATGGTTTAACAATTGAGTAGAGCAGACAGGCAGACGACGTATTCTGTTTACTGGTTTCACGAATAGCAAGCTATCGGGGGTTTTATTTATCTTTTAAGTTGCTTAGTTGCTACTTAAAAAAAGTAATACTTGAAAGGAGTGTGTGGTTTTTCCATGTTTTCGCTTCACAAACTGTGCAATTTACATTATAATCTACCGCTTTACAAAGCATACCATTTTCTAATATGTGTTTGCAACTAAACAGCTATTATATTAAACAGATATTTGGTGCATTTGGACGGCCCATGTAGTTTGTTGCTAGATGATGTTGTGCTGTGGACAAAGTAGAGCCAGAATCAACTTTATTGGCACTAAACTTTGCATTTGTTTTATGTTCGATGGCTTTGGGACTGCTAAGCTAACAGAGTGGTCTCAGTGACATGCATTATGATTCATGGAAAAGTGCTAATTTGACAGATAAAGCCCCCCTGAGCCTGTAAACACCACCTAACTCATTTTTAAATGTGCACCGAAAAGAACGGAAACCAATGGCAGTCTGTGAAATAGGGATAATGAATTTTGTTAAATATCCAAGATGTTGTCATCTTTAATCATCACTCAATCATAATGAGACTATTACAAATATACATTTTACACATGCACAAGTCTTGCCCCCCCGCCCCTCATGCTCTCTTCCTCTAGCTGCCTATTAACTCACTTTGACAGTATCTGGGGTTCCACGCCGTATGCCGGGCCCAGGTGTTGCTCCCACTGGTGCTTTGGACTGGAATCCCCTGCCAAACGTGGCCTCGGGTGTGTTTGGGTTCCTGCCGGCCTGTGTGGCTTAAAAAAAAAAAAACTGTTTATATTGTGCTGCTGCTCACCACTGTTGCACATCTCAACTCCTTCTGGTCAAGAGACAACGAGTTCTATAAAAAGAGCTTTGTTTGGCTGCTTCTGTCGCCACTGCCGGGTTACCATGTAAAAACACACTGTGTGTGTGTGGGTGTGTGTGTGTGTGCATGTTGTTGCGTGTGGTACAGGATGCTGGCTTGGTAACCACCTTTATTTTTACAGGTGTTGTCTGAGAGGATCATTTTAATGGAACTTGTAAATACATTCAAATATGCTTTCAAAACCTTTCAGGCTGACTGGTCTCAATGACTGAATATTGATTATTCCTTTGTAGTCGTTTCGGCCACGCCAGCTTTAACTGCAAAGCCTCGGGGCGGCGGTAGTTAACGTTCAGAGCGGTGTCCGAGCACCTGCGGTTTTGGATTTCACTTACTAAGCTGCTTCGGATGACGGTTTCAGTTTCTAGACCCAAAGCTTCGGCCCCACCGTGCACGTGGTTTCACATCCCCGTTGCTGTAGCATAGTTGAGAACACACAATAGGCCTCAATGAGCGTCGGGTGTACATATTGTTGTAGCACGCTGCATGAATAACGCATTCAGAGCTACAGTGTGTTCACTCGGCCCGGGTGTCACGTTACGTTTTGATGACCAAAGCGTCTGTATCAGCGCTGGGGTTGTTCTGCCTTGTTGCACCGTGTGACGCTGTCACCTATAGGAAAAAGGAAGTGTGGTTTGCTGTCATGCTATTCTCCTCCCCCCCAATGATGTGGACTTCTTCAAAAAAGAGAAGTGTGATGGATAATGTCAATGAACACTGCGGTCATAGAAATACATAGAAATTCGATGAGGCTCTTTATTCTTTCTGTGGTTTCGTCCGGTCCTTGTTCCACTTGATAGCCTGGAATCGCTAAAGGCTGGAGTTGCTGCTACTAATAATGATAAGCAGTGGCAGCTGTGGAAGTGTTGCAGCTATCCTATGCTTTCATTGCAATAATAAAACTGAATCTCACTGATCTTCAAGAAACTGGAGCTTTCTCCCCAGTTTCTGCTCCGCTCAGTGAATCTTCCTCCTGTCGGTCGTCTCAAGTGGATTCCTCAACGCGGCCAGCTAGCTGCAGCCCTGACATGTGTTTTGTCCCCCCTTGTTCTTGCAGAAGAAGAGTTTCTCGGTGTACGGCGAGTACTGCAGTAACCACGAGAAGGCTCTGCGACTCCTCGTGGAGCTAAACAAAGTCCCCAACATCAGGACCTTCCTGCTGGTAAGTCGACACATCTGCCCTCTCCTCTCGCCCTTTTTCTGCATCCTTCCTCTTCAGCACTATGACTCTTCCACTTCGAAACATCTCAATGTTTTCATAATTTCATTTCACAGGAGTCTTATGTATCCTTTCCTCTAGTGGTGGTCCATATAACACCTTATCCTCTTACCTTGTGGCTTACACTCATGTCTACCTTTGCCCCACATTTCTCCCCTCCTGTGAGTCTCCTCTCGCTCTTTCCTCATTTTTTTCCTTCCATCATGTCACCTCCATTTCCATGTCGGAGCTTGAATAAAGGGAAGAAAACCCCCAGCGAGGTCAGAGGGTTCTTCCTGCGCGGACAGGATGCAACCGCCATCGAGGTCACCTTTGTGTCGCTCTTGTAGTGTTTCCGCTGCCAGCTGTTTTCTGTGTTTTGACACCCAAACACTTAGGCCCTAAAACAATGAACTTAAAATGCCGACGGGGCCTTTTGAGCTGGAGGGTGGGGGGGGGGGCCGAGCCGATGAAATCATCGGCACGTTCTGGGCCAGCCAGCTGTGGAGCGTTGGCAGCCGGTTTGGGATTGGCCGAGAGATCTGAGGCCGCGCGTTTGTCGCTGCCTGATGGTTCGCTTCCACGACATTATTCTGACCCACAGGACTGGATCAGAGTGTTCGCTGTGTGCTTTGGCTCTTCGCTCCTCCTGGCCCGGTCATGCGGTGGCTAATTGGTTCGGCCTTGAGCTGCATTGACGCCTCCAAAATAGAATGACGGCACAAACATCTGGTTATGTATGAAAACAGTTGTCTGACCTGCTCCGTGTAAGCTCACATATTGGACTCGCTCTTGTGCTTTGAGTAGCAACGACGAGCAAAACAGAAACAGAAACAAGACAGTCATTTCGAAACAAAACAAAATAATCTTTTTCAGAAGTTGACAGAGAAAATGTGTGATTCTTCTGTAGAGGATGCAGAATGAAAGTTTTTTTTTTTTTTTTTTAATTCTTAAAGCGGTGACCATCGCAATTAATGTCAGTGTGACGTATATCGCCGCTGGCGTCTTTCCAGCTTTGCAACTTTTTTTTCTCTTCTGGATTAAACTATTTTTATGCTAATTGAATCACATAACGACGGGAGCGTCTGCAATTGTATGTAGAAATGAAGTGCTAATTGCGTTTGGAGGAGAGAAGTGAAGCGAAAGCAAAAGGAGGTCCCCCCCCCCCCCGTGCAAAGTCATAATGCTCTAAAGTGATTTTTCCCACAGGAGAGCACTCAAGTGGTTTATCTGCGTGGCTGCTTTTGATCTTTCATCCCTTCCCATGAGCTCATAGCATACTGACAGGCTGCGCTCCTACAAAATACAAGGCGCAGAGAAACCATGACTGTAACTGTACCCTACCTCTGAAGACAACCCTTCCTTTAAACTGGTTCTGGGGGGGTCGCTTAAAGACCGAATCTCCCGGGGAATGAGAACCCATTTTAGAGGTTTCTCAGTGATCCGTTGGTTGGCTTTGGAGGCGGCACAGTAGAAGGAATGTAGAGAAGTTCCAACTATAGAGTTGTGTGTATAAATACGCCATCTTAAAAATGACACTGAAGTCTTTTTTTGTTCTGTTTTTAACCCCCTGAATGCTGCTTTCCTGAAAGAGAAGGGACTGGGTTTAAAATAAGTGCTCCCAACACGCAACAAAGTGTGGCTGAAACAGACCATAAAATGCTATTGGTAATAACGAAACCCCATAGACATGCCGAAATACAGCTCTGGTGATGGGATGTGGTCATCGGCAGTAAAGCTTTTCCAGCATAAACAGCTATCGTGGTTTGCACTCATCGAAATATAGGATGTGCAGAGCGGTCACAGAAGTCAAGTAGCACTGTAGTTAAATGAATAAATAAATAAATGAATCCCTATACTGCAATATGATAGAAAAAGTATAAACAGACTAAGAAATAAATAATCATGCATTTCTGGAACAAAAGACAAAGGCCTACATGACAATTATCGTCACCATATATATTATTCCTTTTTGGGAGACCACATAGACAAAGGCCACTTCAGTGGCAGCAAAGCATTTGCTCCATAATTGCGCTTGCCTTTTTTTTTTTTTTTTAGCATGTGCATACAGGTTTAATAACGTGTTTATAAATGGGGAAAAAAATGTAACCACACTTAAGGCTTTGCTCCCAAACAGACAGAGGCGGATCATTCTTCTGCACCTGGACCTGTTGTAGAGACTGTGACTGAATGGAAAGGACAACAATGGTCAATTAGTCTATTTATCGCTGAAGGAACGAGACAGCGACGCAAACAGCTGCAAAATGCACTGAAATAGACGGGTGCTGTGTGAGGCGATAAACATTTGAAAACAAGTTGAAAGTATTTTACTCCTTTTTGAATCCTGATTCATCTTCAATTCATTCGCTGTTAACTTGACACAGTGAGCTCACCGGCACATTTTCTTCTCTAACTTTTTCATCTTTTGTACACAAGCAGTTTTTAACTCGCTCTGTTGGTAAATATAAGTGTGAACACTGGCGTGTAACGGATATGTTTGCGCTTCTTCTCCAGCACTGCATGCTACTCGGAGGGAAGAAAAGCACAGATGTTCCCCTGGAGGGCTACCTTCTCTCCCCCATTCAGAGGATCTGCAAGTACCCTCTGCTGCTGAAGGTACCGTAACAACTGCTCATCAAGTGATAACACCACCATCACAGGCTGCTCAGACAATCTAAAACAACACTAGACTAACATCAGAAACCTCATTACATGGACATAGTGCTGATGTGTTGATCAATACCAGACATTCATTTTGTATTGTTAGCAAGAACTTTAAATACCTGCTGGCATTTCAAGGCTTCCCCACGCACTTTTCCTTCTGCATGGGTAGCGGGACACGCGTAGAAGATTTTGTTGTTACTAAAGGTCACAGAATACTTTATGCTCAAAGACTTAAGTGTTGTTATTTATGTGCCCACTTCTGGAAAGTCTACAGTTGTTTTTTTTTCTTTAAAACTCCCCCTTCCCCCCCCAATCCAGGAGCTGCTGAAGCGGACCCCGAAGAAGCACGCCGACTACCCGGCAGTGGAAGAGGCTCTGCAGGCCATGAAGGCCGTCTGCTCCAACATCAACGAGACCAAGAGGCAGATGGAGAAACTGGAGGCTCTGGAGCAGCTGCAGTCGCACATCGAGGGCTGGGAGGTGAGAGCGAGACGGACGGAGCGCGGGCGAACGAGAACGCCTCAGACAGTAGTCGTGAGGAGGCAAGACAGGAGGCCAGTTGAAAAAGAAAATAGCTGTTGCATGCTTGAGAAGAGGGGAACCCTGAGAGCTAAAAGATAGTGGCAAAATTGCAAGGGGTGGTGCTGTGACATTCTTAGGGTAAAAATTGGAGGAAAGAAAGACACACTTTTCTGAGAGCAACACAATTATGATTTGAAAAAAGGCCTTTGCAAAAGAAAGACAGGAAAGTCCTGTAACATAACCGTGGCAAACACAGCCAAGCTCATTTGAGAAAGACCTCAACTGCCACGGACGCCATCCACCTTAAGAGTTAAGCGCTGCTGCAGCCAGAATCACTGCTCTGAGCACGGGGGCCACGGACGGGGCTTGGGAGCCGAGCGAACGGGCCAGTGCATTTTTCACGCCTCCCTCACCCACCACAACAGAGGCCTTGTCTTAGCAGGCACCAAAGGGACAATCCACCCACACAGGGTGCCAAGGGGGATGCCAGCCGGCACACTGCCCAATCAGAAGAGACCAAGGAAGCAGGACTCTAGTCCCACATAAACTGGGAGGGTTATATGAGGGGACTATTTGAAGGGAGAAAGAAAATTGAAGGATGGAACTAGAGAGTGGGCCCCATTGGGACATCGCACTTTGCTTGCCAAAACAGACCCCTCTTCTCCTGCCTTTGCTTCAGAAAAATGTCATCATTTGAGCCTGATTATTGGTTCTTTAGCTTGGGTGCATTGACGGGAAAGGACCGTACAGGATGTTTTCTACTTTAGCCACCATGACGTCCCCCATCTTTTATTTGATGTCTTATTTCATGTATGACCCAAGACCACAGCGAGTAGGGCTGAAGACGTTATTCAATGGTTTTGATAATTGATTAATATTATTATTATTATTATTATTAATCGAATTCCACATTTTCCACCTCTGCTTCTTTGATTATAATTTTTCTTCTTAAAATGAGAAAAACAAAAGTATTTTTTCGAGCTAAACTATCAAAGATTATTTTTTTTTCCAGCTTCTCAAATGCGAAGTGTTTTATACAATTTTAAATATATTTGTGTTTTGGACTGATATTCAAACAATGAATTTGAAGACATCACTTCAGGCTTATGGTGACATGGGATTGGCATTTTTTTGTTTGCCATTTTATACTCGATACAATGAATCGTTTTATTGGAAACAAAAATGAATAATGAAAATGATAGTTAGATATAATCCTAACAGCAAGTCACATCGATGTGAGTCACTTTCAGATCAGTGATGGAGTCAATGTTGAGATTTACCTCAATAACCTGAATGTGAATGATTATTGAACACAAATTAGCCATTAAACGATCACATTCAATAGGTCACAGCCAACATCCAGCTTTTACCTCTAAAAATGGACGCACGTCCGATTCAGTCATTCTTTTGTCGTCCAAGACAGTCACTTTCTCTGTGCTCTCCCTCTGAACAACTAGGTAGAAGCTCAGAGAGGCGCTTCACCCCGACCCTCCCCCCACAGAGCCTCCAACCTTACAGCATTAGTCTCACTCTTCTTTCCTCCTCCCCAGCCGCTCTCCGGGCTAATCACCTCCAGCTCTAATGGCAGAGGCCTCTAGTAGTGCCGAATCAGGCCCCGACCCATGACCGCTGCTCAGACACACACACACACACCGTCTCTGCATATTTGTACGTTTTCATATAGATTATGGATGCATGAAAACGTAGACGTGCCTACAAACGCATATTACAAACGCTCAAAAAGGACACACTCATGTGCATAGAGGTGCCGTCTGATTTCTCATACACGTGGTCATGCCAACCCCCCACCTCAGGTTAGTGCCGTTAAAACGAGGTTGAATCGATGGTCTGAAACCCAATCCCCTCCCCAAGACCCCGTCGGCATGCACCGTAAGAAAAAAGCTCCTAGAGTCATTCTTTTCTCTCTCTCTCTCTCTTACGAACTCTGGAGCGGGGAACATCGATCATAAATACATACTCGTGGGACTCAATTATGGACGCTTGAGAGCAGGTGTGGCCGGCGGGGGGTTTCCATAGGTCTCCGGTGGACCCATGTCTGAAACATCAAAGACGACATCGAAGTCCAGATCTGATGTATACGTGTGGGCGTGCTGTGAGGGGTGGTGGGTGCTCTTCAAGCCATAAAGGAGGGGAGGCTGTCCGAAAGTCGGCACATGGGTGTATTTAGTTCCGGGTGATTTGGAGGGGAGTGATCTGTTTAACAATGAGTAATGAGACGTCTTTGTTGTCTGTCGTTTCATTTTATGTGTTTGGCGGGCAGCCACTCCGGCTCACGGACCCGAGGAAGTCAACCAAATAAAACTCTTCAATATTCTTGTTTGATAGTAGGAAACGTCGTCGTCTGTCGTTCACAAAACGGGAAGGAACGCGCGAGCGCTTGGTTGCTCATGTGCGTCTGTGAAAGCGGTTTCTGTTCCTGTTCGATGGAAATGTGAAAATAATTTTCTAAAATTAACGACATCTTATTAATGTCAGCAGTTTGTCCTGAAGTTCAGCCACTTTGTGAGAAGGTTAATTAGACAACATGCTGTGGTCAATCAACACAGCATTCATCTCAACAGTTCTTGACTGACGTCAACGACCTCATTAACAAACACTGAAAGGTCCATGGATCACTTTCCTAAATATCTATTTTCTAAATTTCAGTAAATACAGTCAGAATGAGGCAGGAAGCCTTCAGACATGTTATGCACACATTTCAATACAGAGAATGAGACGGTATGTGTTGAGCAGAGAAACGTGTACTCTTTCGTGGTTTGCGTCCTGCTGCTTCATAAAGAGAAAAGGTTATTTCGGTCTTCAAGTCGGGGCATATTTGATAGCCGACGAGAAACGGCTTTTAAGAACGACTTGATCACATCCTGTGAGGGTGGCAGGCTGCAGAGTAGCATAATGCACCTTCATATCACACTGGCCCTACAGAGGTACACAGCATTTCATCAGGTCTCACTGCAGGGATCACGATAATACTGAAGCACTTCCACCTACAGTCTGCACCACGTCACGATTCATGCATTTCCTTCCTCTATGCACTTACAGTGCATGTTTTCGTTATAACTCCCCTATTTAGACTAAAAGTGCTGTCAGAGTTCCCGTGCTCTGCTCTAATAGAACAAACGAGCACTTGACCCTTGAGTTATGTCACTCTCGTTACAGTAACAATTCCAGAAGCTAATCTCCTTTTCAATCTTTTTTGTTTTGTTCTTCAGGGAACCAACCTGACAGATATCTGCACGGAGTTGCTGCTTCATGGAAATCTTCTGAAAATCTCTGCGGGCAATATCCAGGAGCGTGTCTTCTTCCTGTTCGACAACCTTTTGGTTTACTGTAAGAGGAAGTCCAGGTGAGAAGGGGCAAACCTCCCTCCAGCTACACGGCAGCTTCCACTAACAGCATGACAAAGGGAGAAGGAAGAAAGCATTCAAAAATATTTAAATTGACAGACTACCGGGAACAAGTCAGACGTGGAAAACTGGAGCGAATGTGCACGTTCCTGTTTGTGCTGACTGGTTTTTAGTATTCAAAACCATCTACACGTGCCTGCTGCTCCCATAGCCGTGTCTGCGTGAATGCACGCATGTTGTTTTCTTACAGCGGATGTTTTTACCCCCCGCCGAGTGTAACCGCAGTGTTGTCTCATTATGCAGGGTTTCTGGAAAGAAGTCCACCAAGAGGACCAAGTCCATCAACGGGCCCCTCTATGTGTTCAGAGGCCGAATCAACACCGAGGTGATGGAGGTGGAAAATGTGGAGGATGGAACAGGTTTGTGTTTGCCCTGCGGCTTTACAGAATGTCTGTACGTCCATTCATGCAGCCCAAGCTCTTTTTGATTGGTTCACTATGACATCCCAGGTAATATAGGAAAATAATGTTGTGCATTTACTACCTTCAATTTGCCTACAGGGCTCATTTTTTTTATTTCACCTTTAAGTTCATAAAACGTTGCCGTTTAGAAACTGGGGGTTGGATAGGAATCAGGTACTTGTTGACAGTTTGGGTGGAGTGTCGATCTTGCACCTAGTTTCAAACAGGATGCAGCTCGAAATCTCGCATACCACCTTTTGATGTCGGCTATTCAGTAATGGGTTGAGGTGCGGATACCAATCTGAAGTGCAAAAAGCACTCACCCGAGCCAGGTGATAAACGCGACGCACTCTCGCATCGGGTTCGAGATGTTGTGCCGGAGATAGACAACTCCTCTGTGATCCGGTCGTCAGCCATCTTTTCTTGCTGTTGCGGTTTGTAGTGAGGCATCGCACCGGGCTTGGTAGAAACACTTTGTCTTTCTCTCTCTCTCACATGTTTCCTCTTTTTTTTTTTTTCTGGGACTCTTCTATGCTGGCAGAATATTTTGCAAGCTCACATGACTTTTTTTGTTTTAGTTCTGCATGTTGGCTGCTGGCTGTCACATTTAGGCTGCTAAAGAGGAAACCGCAAATAAACAACACGCATTATTCTCAGAACCGAGGGGTCTGGCATCGAGAATGCATACATGTGTGAACTCCAACAACACAGATTATCTGATTACTGCGGTGTAAGATATGAAAGAAGATTATTTCAGACCCCACTTATGTCCTCCACCCTGAATATCAGCTTCTCCCCTCAGGCAGACGCTTCAGACTCCCCCAGTGCAGGCTCAACCTGTTTAAGAACTCCTTTGTCCCCTTGTCCATCAAAGCCCTAAATGGCAAGCTAGCCAGAGCTTAACCCCTGTAACACGGATTTATATTTATTTTTAATATCTTAACTATACACTACTGGTGCGTTATACAATGGGCAGTGTGAAATGTATTTGTTGGCTGGTGGCAGTCTTTTGCATGTACTGTAGGTAGTGTGTGGACTGGCGACAGTCTGTGTATGTAATGTATGTATGCAATATGTTATTTGTATTGTTTTTTAACAGCAGACACTGTATGTATGTTTCCAAGACAAATTTCCTTCGGGACAATAAAGTCTATCTTATCTTATCTTAAATGTGGGACCGTCCAGGGTTATCTGCTGAAAGCTTGAATGGAATCATCCAGTTTCTATTTTAAATGCTAATAAAAGATAACTGCGTAAACTCTACATTATATACAGTACCTTAGGTCACACCTGTGAGGAATCTGACTCAAAAGTCCACCTGTTCAACATTCAGAATATCCTCACTTTCACAGACTCGTGCACCTCTCTGCCTTGATTAGTGCCACCATGTACTTACATTAAACTGTAAGAGAATCCATCTTTTCCATCCCAGCGGCTACAAAGAGAGCGGACGCAGTAGAATCTCTCAGATCAGCAGGAGCTGGTCCCCGTGGGGCCTGAAGTATCACATCTATATATATGACCTTTGAGCGCGGGACTAATGCACCCCCATTACCAGCGGCCATTCATTATTCAGTAGCGGCTCACCTGCAGCTAAATGGATGAATAGATTAGAAAGGGGAACGAGGAGGGATTTTGCTGAGTCAGTGGAAAGGTGGTCTTTTACCGCTCTCGTGGTGCATCGTGTTTATCTCTTTAATTGGCTTGTAAATCACTGCTCGAGTAGTAAATCCTATTAAGAGTGATTTTATTACACTCATTACTACTTTCTTTACTTACCGCTGAGGTCAATGTTCACTCAGTGTCTTTTTTTTTGTCTAATTTTCTTAAAATGAAAACGCTTAAAGAAAACAAGAGGAGAAAGAAAAACAAGCTCGACAAAAAACTGCAAACCAGAGATGATCTACAATCTTTTTTCAATTCGATGATTTGTTTTAAGTGTAACCCTAAAGGCCATTCCAATACAGGCCAGAAATTTATATTTAAAAAAGAAACTCCTCACCCTACTCTTTAATAGATGATTTTAATGTTTTGATTACTTTTTTTATTTGTTTTGCCTCACAGCGGACTACCACAGCAACAACTACACGGTGACGAACGGCTGGAAGATCCACAACACGGCTAAAAACAAGTGGTTTGTCTGCATGGCCAAACATGCAGAGGACAAGCAGAAGTGGCTGGACGCCATCTTGAGGGAACGGGAGCAGAGAGAATGTGAGTAAGGCCTTTTGAAAAAGGCAATTTATGGCACCTCTGGTTTCTGGGCCTGAGAGTGCAAAACCAGAAATGAAAACTCAGTTGTTTCTGTGATCTTGTTTAGAAAAACGTGGCACTACCGACCATGTTTCATTGTATTACATACACTTTCCACAGGTAGGATGTAGGGCGCGGCTGCTTTAACTAGGTGTACCTAATAAACAACTGCAGTGCCTCCCGCTCCCCCTCCACCCTCTGCTTTTCTAGCCCTCTCTATCTGCCCTACATGCCGGTGTCACCTTGGATTCACAAGGGATCACGACCCCCCCCTCAGCTGGCACACAGTAATGCCAGTGGGTGTGCTTCTGACCTGGATGCAGTGTTTGTGTCCCCCGGTTACGTCCCACCTTGAACGAGCTGCCCGCCTTCGTTTTCGCAAACAGAGGCTCAGGTGATATGGCGTCTACAGTTGGCCCGGCTGACCTGTGCGCCGAGCAGAGGCTGCCACAGCAATCTATTCTTCACATTCAAAAAAACCAAAACAAATCAATGCAGCGGAGGTATTTGACTAATCAAAGCCGCCGGTGTGAAGGGACTGATGAGACAAGTGTCTCATTCACAAACAACTGCTAAAAACAGCATCTTGGCCAAACGCTGGAAATAGAACCGCATTGTCAAAGGAAGCGAAGCTCAATGATGTCATGCACATGCGCTTTAATTAATCTGGATCTATTTTTACTGTAATAAAAGTGTTGTGGCTAGAAGACCCAGTTGTATCCATTTCAGTTAGTGTTAGTTTTGCAGTCATAGAATGAGTTGACATGAGGATTTAGCTTTGGATTAGTGTGCAGAAAATCTAATTGTATTCAGTCTGGCCCAAAAGAAATAAACCTCAGTCACTGGTGGTTAAAAAATAAGCCCTACACAGCACCACATCCGCTGATGTGAGATTAGTAATGCACACTGATATTCTTGTCGCTCCTTCGGACTTCCCTCTTTTGCCTTTAAAATGGTCTCCCACCTGTTCAGCACTGGCCATCTGTCTTCGTTACGTTGTGTGCGTCAGACAGTGTGAAAGGCTTTAACCAGATTTTGGGCCGGTACACATCAGGTCACCTGATAGCATTGATGGCTCAAAAATCAAAATTGGATCCCTAAAGCTAAGTGTTGGGCTGAAAATGACAGAAGGTTAGCTGCACGTGCGCGCTTGGCCGAGCGCAACCGCCAACACAAACATTTGCATTCTTGTGAACTACTCTTTTGTGATCTTGCATCAAATAAGCATCCGCAGCGGAGGTCGACGTCATCGGCGTCTGATCCTGTGATGAAAGGGTTGCAGAATAAGAATAAGTACGAAGGAGTGTGCTGCAGCTTGTGGTGTTTGGTTTCAACCCCTGCGGAAATCGACCTGAGGCAAACAGATGCCAGATCAGTCACAGTGCCCAGTTTCCCCACAATCTCCCTTTCTATGACCCCCCCCCCCCCCCCACATACTCTCACTGTGTGCTTACCTTTCCCTCAACCTCTTTACTAACAGTCTAGACAGCTACTTGATAAAAGTTTTACTGCGGTAAATGTTTTTTTTCTTCTCTTCTTCCCCTTCATGCGTTATTGCTTTTCCTGACACGCCTCGTTAACGTGACCTTTTCCATGTATCGCTGTGGCCCCTCCCCTGTGTTGGACATCCTGAACCCTCCTAGAAGACTTTCACTGTTCATCAACTGCTAGGTGGAGGTGGTTTGCCTCCTCACTGGGGAAAATGCGAGGGTCGGATAACGCATCGGGGTATGAGCTCGTGCCAGTGAGCGCAGGAAGACGAGGAGCAGCCCAAGACAAACTCTGACAGCTGGAACAGAAGCTGAGGGGCCCTCTGCTGCTGGACAGGCCCCGTCTGTTGTTCAATGACACTCATTGTTTAAGTCTGCTCCAGCTGCTGTCAAACGTAATATAAGCCCACCTCCATCACGGGGCTGCCAGTGCAGAACCCCAAAGACTCTGTGGGAAAACTGGAGTCAAGAGTTAGCCGTTCGTCTCACCCCTCTCACTCCCTTTCAGTTGGTCAGACTTCCACCACAACACTTCTTCCTTCATATAAGTTGCATAAAGATGCACCAAGTGTATATTTTGGAGGAAATAGAGAGAGGGAAAATATTAAGGACCTTGGCACTCCAAGCTGACCTCAAAGGAAAAGTGACCTAGGCCAGGTGATCGCATGCCTCGCGTTGCCGCACATTTCGCATACAGCCAAAGGCCAGCAGATCGCCTGCATGCACAAATGTTCTGCAACTGCAAGAGAGGAAATAATTAGTCAGCAGTTTGTATTTGTAGTCTAAGAAACACCTCAGCAAGACAAGCAAAGTCACCTACCATACTGAAGCCACAACGATGAGGAAGCAGCACTTAAAGGGTGAATTCACTGATTCGCTAGGCTAAGCAGCCAATCAGCAATGCTCACTGGTACAACGGTAAAACGGACAGCTCTAAGTTCACACTTGGCATTAGAACTAAAGGGACCACTTTTTTGACCACAGTTCGGTAGCTTGAAGTGCCTCTTGGCAGAGTTAAGCAGCTTAGGGTGGGCGCAGTGTAACACAGTTGAGTTGCCCGAGTCAGAAAGCCTCACACCGTGGTTCAGAAGTTCATCGAATCCCAAGATGAGGTTATGCAGCTAGAACTGTGAACTCACTGGAGGGGTTTTAGAGGGGCATCAGGCCTCACAATGGGCCCCTCACATGTTACAATAGTGGAATAACAGTTAATGAACCAACACAGAAACAAGATCAAGATCACGCTGCCCTCCTGAACTCTGCTTAGTCCCAGAACAACTTGTCAAGGAGAGATAAACATCTGGGTTTGTTGCAGAAAGTTGTGGCAGACCCGAGCCGCCGTGCTCTGTTCCAGGCTTCATTCCATCTGCACAATACCAGAACACAACCGGGCCGGCAAGCTAAAGGCTCGCTTGTCTCTTCTAAGCACCGTGACGGCCTTTGCCTTTTGGCTTTGACACGCGTAGAACGACGTGGAAAGCACATTGATATTTGTGTCCAGTAATGGGTCTGCTGCGTTTTTCTCGAGAATGTGATCCAGTGAATGTAGTTACTGAAATGTTCCCTCTCATTCCAGTGATAGGACGGGGGGGGGAACAAATCCTCTTGGATCTGACGTGTTCTTCACTTTTGTCTGTAGCTCTCAAACTCGGGATGGAGCGGGATGCCTATGTGATGATTGCAGAGAAGGGGGAGAAGCTCTACCACATGATGATGACCAAGAGTCGGCACCTGATCAAGGATCGACGCAGGAAGCTCAGCATTGTGCCCAAGTGCTTCATGGGAAAGTGAGTTTCTTTGCCTCCTCGGTGCCTGGTCTCTTCAGGTTCCCAGAATGCGACTGCAATGCGGCGCCGTTCACAAGGGGGGACCCTTACAAATCGCCGTTGCGTAAGATCAGCAGGCTTTCAAAAGAGCTGGTATCCAGTCTCCCCAAGTTCTGGCAAGGTGCCTAAACTGTTTTATCCCTACATCCTCTTGTCTGTAATGAGCCCCCCCCCCCCCCCCTACCGCGCGCCTCATAGTCTCCTCTCACGGTTCATAGAAAGGCCCCAGTTGCTCCCCACACACTCCTATCACTCACACACCCAGACTTTCACCAGCATAGGAGCTTTAACTGAGTCCCTGCAACAAGCCATCCCCCTTTCTGTCCCCTTGATGTTTCACTTCAATGAATAGACAACGAGAGGCTTGCTTAAGTTTCCCTCACGCCAGCGATCGTGAGCTCACGAGCAGCAATTAAAGTTCTTACGGTCACCATTTTGGGGAAAAATAGAATGAGGCAAGCCTGCGATGACTACGACCGGTCTTGTAAAGGGAAACCAGGGGAGCAGCACCGCCAACGGTATTTTACAAATCATTAAATGCAACCCACATCTGAAATTGTTTTTTTAGTTTTTTTTTGGAGAGGTAAATTCAGTGGGCAATAACACATTGACTACTATCATCAGCCACTAACAAGAAGCAAATTTAATGGGCTGCTCAAAAATGTAATGGTGTTTCTGGGAGGCATGTTCCCTCTTGGTGGCCTCACATGAAGTTTCCTCTTTCAGAGTATTCTGTATTAGGAGCAGTGCTTTATTAGTATCCTCAAAGAAGTAATGTTTCATCTCGCGCCCATCCAACAGAGCTACTGTTCAGTCGCTGTTAAGCTGGTTCAAATCCCAATGTTTGCCAACATGGATCGTTTCTCAGACAATCCTTTGTTTTCAATCACTCGCTTCCTCCTTTTGGCTCGTCCATGAGGTACAAGTATAGTTAGTCTGCCTCTTCCTCTCACACGGTGCTCCCTTTCCATCATCTCCCACTTTCCTCACATTATCACTCAGTCATTTCCTCCCGATGAGTGCAACCAGCATTAGCTCTGCATTTGTCTCTCTGATGAAATTATCAGCAGGCTTAGTTTGACTGCTTATTGCATTAAACAGAGAGATGCCGACTGCCGGTTTTTGATAGCGCCGCGTTGTCTTGATGGCATTATTCTGCTATCTGTATTGGATGATGGTGTTAACAGGCTTTACATTTTCTTATTGTTGCTATTTCCGTCATGCCAGTGCTCACCTAGCATCGTTTGGAGGGATTTAAAGTGGTGATATATCATATCCTTATGATCTTGTATTGTTTGTTCCTACCTTTTTGTGCGAAGAGATGGAATTAGATCTCCCTGCTCGCTTTCTGGGTTAGCTTGTGTTCCTCTATTTTTTGGTTCTCAATGTATTTTCTCACCCTCTGAGAGAAAATACATTCGCTGTGTCCCAATTCCATACTTAACTTTTTTGTTTTGATTTTGAGCATGTAGTGTTTTCACACTTTAAATGTGACAAAACTAAGTAAATTATAAATAGTCAGTACGCATACTTTCATAGACTAGCACACTATTGTCCCACCGTGCGATGCACAAAGGAAGTGGAGCTGGAACAAATTAAGATAAAAGGGCGCGTGGTGGTGAGATGGCTCCAGAAAGATCTTAGAAAACAATCGCACGATGTTTGGGAAAGCATACCACGGAGACTAGTGTCTCGTACACGCTGAACACGGTCGGAACGTTGTGTGGAATTGGGACACGGCCGTTGTCGTTCCAAGCCCAGGGGCCTACTTGAAAAGCCCTGCGAATGTTGCTGAACTTCACATGCAGATTCACAATCATCAGCAGATATTCCCACAAATCCATTATCCTTGTCCTCTTCTCCTCCGTGTGTGGCTGAAGGCTCTCTGTCTGTCTTCCTCGCTCACACACACACACATACACACACGCACACGCACTACTCCTGCTCATCATATTCATTTCCATAACAGCTCTGTGTCCAAAATTAACCTGACTCTTGCGTAACATCCACACACACACACACACAACATCCCCTCACATTCAGTCCCCTGTCAATGCCAATTTACAGACACCGGCTTTGACATGAACATACAGAGAGACAATAAACACACACTAATGCAGGCATGAAAAATGATGGTAAAATATTCCTTTTGTGCATCAGGCAGACATGAATGACCAGTGGCAGGTGGTTCAAGGTTTCCACGGTTCTACATGATCATACGAATGCACACACACACACACACGCAGCAATCATATGCTTGTGATTGGACTTTATATGCACGCACACCTTGTAGGCTTTTCATTATTGCATTTCAAGCAATCCGACTAACACTCATACGTCTGTCGCACCGCTGCCGGAAAGTAAATCCACACATGAGCACAAATTTCTCATAACACATGCTTCAAAATTGTTCCCATGCTGGAATGTTCATGAACACACACACACACACACACTGCTAGCTCTCGCCAATTCACTTTTCATCATTATCTGGGGAAGTGATTTCACTCGGCAGCATGAAAGACGAAGAAGGGGAGAATGTAATTTTCTCCTTCAAACATTTGTTCAGCGCAAACTGGGCGTGAAGAGAAGGGAGCGGAGCTGAAGCGCTTATATTTGGACGGTTAATGCTTGTGCAGTGTCGAAGCTCCAGGGATATTTTTGTTGCGAAGAAGAGAAAAAGGAGAAACTCATTCTCAAGTTTCCTACTTGAATATGCACTTGTACCGTAGATGCTGTGCTGTGCTTTTGGTGGAAGTAGTTCCATTTTTTAAATGTCCTTCGGTCAGATTAAACGGCACAAAGGGCCTCGCACAGTGTCAAGATGTTGCACAAGGCTCTCAGTAGTGATCATCCAGGGCCAGCTCCGCCTCAGAATGGATTTATTTCAGTGGTGGTGTCACGTGGGCCTACATTTAGCAATCGGAGCCACAGTCGGTAGTGTATGACAGTGGTTGTCATACACAAACATTGGCTTATAACTCATTTACTGAATCATCAGCTGCACTCTTGTTCTTTAGTGGTTCCTCACAGTTAATACTTGAAGGAATTCTTCTGCTTTGTCTTGGGCAACAGAATCCAACAATAACTAATAAACAGCAGTTCAGCTCTGTGCATCGACTTCCTGTCTGTTAGCGTTTCTGGAGGGAAACCGGAGCACGAAGTCTTCACCGCGTTGGCTAGCGGTGAAGCTGCCTTTCCCAAAGCATTAACCCGAGCTCCACTTTGACAACTTATCAAAAAGTGAATCCTCAATAATCTCTGCACAAATACAAGGAAGTCGCTTTGGCTCATCAAAATACCAAGATGCTGTTTTCAACTGAGCTACAGTGAAATTCCCCATATCCAAACATCTAGACACACTGTAGGTGTTATGAGGTCTATGTATGCTGTAATATGACTGATACATTAATATTAGGTTGAGCAAAACGTTTCTCAATGTGTCTTTTTATTTTATTTTTTACATTTGACATCTACATTTTGTGGTCAAGAGAACAAGAACAAGGGAAGCATTGCAAGTTTATACAAGCGTGGCATTGGTCTTGTTTAGTATAAGCCTCGAGCATGAGAGGCTTTATGAAGGAACATGAAAGAAACACTTTAAATCCAATACGAAATGTAGTGGCAAAAACAGCACAGCAAGGAGCCCCGTGCCAAAGACGGTGACAATATAAAAAATCCAAAAAAACATCAGCGAGCAGATTACCACTTAGAGAAAGCGGGCCTCATCGTATCTGCTTCTTTGTCTTTGTGTTCTCAGTGAGTTTGTGTCATGGCTGATCGAGAACGGAGAAATCAGTAAGCCTGACGAAGGGGTCAACCTGGGACAAGCCTTGCTGGAAAATGGCATCATTCACCACGGTGAGATGAAGCAAAACCCTTTATTTCTCTCTCTCTCTCTGTCTGTTTGGTAAACCTCAAACATCATCTTGAGGCTCTTTGCAGCTCCCTTGTCACGTTTTTAACTTTGTTTAGTCATCTCGTCCTCTGGTTTTTTTGGTTTGTTTTCCTGCTTCTCTCTTTCTCTCATTCACATTCTCCTTCTGTAATAGTTTGACTCATACGTGTTATGAATTTGTCCCCCACTTCCTATTGGAGCGGACAATGATGGGGTTGAAAACCACTGTGACCCAAGGGCATTCTCTGGCAGTAATACTTCTGGAAATGTGTCTCACTTTATCTGCCCTCTTCTCTGACTTCTCAGTGTGACATCCACCGGTCCACCGACCTGAATAATGCATTGAGGAATGAAAGACACATCTATACATAACATGTTCCTGAAGGGGCTCTTGTACATCGTAAAAGCAAGCGGCACGGTTTATACACACCACCCTCTTAGGGAACTTTGCTGAGAGACAACCTCCACATTCCTTAATACCTGTGGAAAATCCCCTGAAATCCTCCCTCGCGGTAGCCTCCGACCACAGAGAGGTGCAACGATGACATGCAGGGCTCTGTGGGACGGCAGTGAGGCTTTGTGGGGAAACCATAGAGGGCTCAGGCCCGGCAGGCAAAGTGTAGGTGTCACCATTTAGTCAGGGAAAAGAAACCAGAGAGAGAGAGGTCATGTGACAGAGTGGCAGGTCGAAGCTGTCCAACTACCCTCACATTTGTAATGCCAAGAGACGCATATAAAGAGAGACGGTCAACTCCGTGCATTGTATAGTCCGGCTGTACACGTTTGATCTGCCAGTTCATACTTGAATTTTTGCAATTTTGACATCTCCGTTGCCCAAAAAATAATTCCGCTATCATCATCTCATGTGCTTTAAATTCCACGGTTGACACTTTTCAATGTGTGCTGCCTTTGGGTTTTATGAGGACATTTGAAGTCTAGACCGAGAAAAGCCAGCAGCTTGTTTGAGCCCATGCCAACTTGTTGCAGTGGAACCAAACTGCCTCTGTCAGATTTCACTGTTTGCTTCTCCAACAGGCATCTGTTTGTGTACGTGTTAGTCTTTTTCCATTCTGTGTTTGATTGATTGTAGATAAAAGGTTGTTTTGTCATTTGTTTATTAATGTGATTATGGAGATTTTATGGGAATCGGCAGCTGTTGGCTACGTTAAATATTCAAATCTCATGGCTTACCCGACACAGACCGTTTCCCACAGACTTCTTGCCTCTTGTCTGTACTCACCCCTCAATGTGTAGAAAAGTTAGCAACACAATACGTTGACAAGCTAATGCTTCGCTGTACTCCCAGCTGATGTGACAGTCTCTCCTCCTGGTGTTATTTCAGTGTCCGACAAGCACCAGTTCAAGAACGAGCAGGTGTTGTACCGATTCCGCTACGACGATGGCACCTACAAGGCCCGCAGTGAGATGGAGGACATCATGTCTAAGGTAACTATAAGTAAGCGTATGGAGGTCTTCCGGTGTTTGATAGAAAAATGTGAAAAACAAAGATGAGGAACAAGAAAGAGATCTGAGCTGTAAACACGCGCCAGATTTACAGTAAATTAGTGTTTGAAAATTGCACATATGCGTCTAGTCATATAAATGATTCTACAGAGTGTTGATTGTAGAATAATTCAAAAATATAATTTCAAAAACAAAGGAAAAAAGAATAAATGCAACATCATCATTGACTGCACCTTTGCTAAAATCATAGACTGTAGTTTCACTGTGACTTCACCCATTGGTTTATGGACTACAGTTTTAAAGCTGTGAGTTTGTCATTTTGGCCGTCGCCATCCTGTTTTTTTTGCCATCGCCATCTTTTTTTTTTTTTTTTTTTTTGCAACCAGAAGTGACACAGGAGGGGTGGAGTTGAGTACAACTGAAAGCAAAAAAAGACATTTTTAGGCGACCAAAACAATTACAATTAACTGTCATGAACTAAAAACACGCTATGAAAGGGTTAAAGTTATGAGACAAAAGCACAGACAACTCCCAGACTGTGGTGGTGTCCTGCCCTAAAGCATACCCTGCTTTATCGTTTGTTCTACTCTACATGGATCATCATTTACTGAATGAACATCATGTTGTATTGAAGAAGACTTGACACTAGAGGTTGAGACCATGAACTCATGTTTACAATGTTTACAGAGGTAATAAATCAAGAGAGAAGTAGAGTCATTTTCTCATAGACTTCTATACAATCAGAAGGCACTTCCTAAGTGGCTTCACATTTCACACCCGGAGGTTGCCGCCTGACTAAAATGTGTCAATTGTATCGTCTTTCCAAAGATACGTTGTTGAATACATTTGTTCGACATGATTTTTTTGTACATTTATACAAGCGTAAACCTTTGTGACTGGTTTATGCAGGTGTTCCTACTCTGGAGTCACTAATCCCTTCCCATAGAAAACTGAATCTCAATATTAAAGAGACAGGTTGATTATGTTGGCCTACCTCTGCTCTCAGATCCCTCTATGGTTTTCAAATGTCTATCCTAAAACAATAACCCTGCGGTGACTCTTTTCACAGTCAACAGTTAAAATCTCTTGTCCCGAGGCCATGCTTGTACTTGTTTACCCAAGGTGTGTGCGTTCTGTGAGTCAGCGCCTCCGTTTTTTCTTCTCTCTTAGGGCGTCAGGCTGTACTGCCGCCTTCACAGCCTCCACACGCCTGTCATCAAGTAAGTACCTGCCCTTCCCTCCTCGCTTCCCCCCCCACCCCCCGTATGCTAATATTCCCGCTCTCCAGGTGCAACGGATGCATATTCATGAAGGGTTCACATTCGGCCCACGTCAACCTTTCTGAACTAACAGTAGCACAGCCAGGAACGAGAGGCCCCCCCCCCC